ATATACATGGAAGCCCCGAGCACAGGGCTGAGCAATAGGAAACACACACCCCCGTCCTCAACCATTTTTGCAGCTTCCCTGAAGGCTCTTGAACACATAAATAATGCTGGAACTGCATCTGGCTGGAAAAAGTCAACCATCTGGAGATTTGGAAATATGGGGGAACTTTTAATGACTGGCTAATTTTTTTTTCTATTTTTCAGCCAGATGTTTGGTGTCATCTAGGCCCATCTGTAGCAGAAGTAGCAGTGTTTTGAAATTCTTTTCTGTAATTGAATGTCCCTCGCCTTAAAAATCCTAAGTGAGATTTCTTTTCTTAGTAGAAAAATTCTTAATCAATTGGAAAAAGAGAAAATCAAGAATCATATATGTAAAAAAAAAATTTTGGACTGAAAGAGTCATTCGAGTGATTTCCAGAGCTCAACACCGGCAGTGTGTGGGCCACATTCAGCTATAAGGTGAATTTGGTTTGGCTGGTTCTATGTTTTAAAAAAATTATATGAGTTACTAATATTTTAAAAATAAAGAGATTTTTACATCTGGCTTTTATTTTCTTGGAACATTGTGCAACATTTGGTGCACATTTCTCCAAGTAGAATTCAAGCCAAGGAGGAATAGCAGTTGTTACTGTCTTCTACGTGGGCCTTGTGTACCACAGTTTGCCATAGTCCCCACCACTTTCTGTTACCCTCTAACTGAAACTGAATTTCAGCTGCAGCATGTCTTTTCAAATGTACCATTGTTTTTTCCCACCATAGCCTCGGGTTAAGAGGACAGTGAAAATGCTTGCTTCACATTTGATAAGTAACTTGCCTCGTCCACTGGGACATTTGGGTTTGCTATTCCCTCATCTTTTCTGAAGTTCTCATTTTATTTTTTACATTTTTTCTTTAAAAACAGAGGGGGAGAGAGAGAGAGAGAGAGAGAGAGAGAGAGAGAGAGAGAGAGATATCTTCCCTTTACTGGATCAGTCCACAGATCTCTGCAACAGCCAGGGCTAGGCCAGACAGAAGCCAGAAGCCTGGAACTCCATTCAGGTCTCCCACATAAGTAGTAGGGGCACACACGCTTGAGTCATGCCTCCCAGGGTGTGCATTAGTAGGAAGCCGGAGCCAGGACCTGGACCCAGGTACTTGGATATGGGATACAAGACCTCGAGTGGCAGCTTAACCACTATGCCAAATGCCTATTCCCTTGAAGTTCTGATTCTTAGAATTTGATACACTGGTCCAAAAGAGATCCAAAAGAGAAAATAGTATGTACGGTTCATATAACTTTCAGTGACAGAAATGGGATTAGTGTTCTTTACTACTAGGCTAGTGGTCTTCCACTCTAAATACAACATTTTGATTGTCACTAGACCTTCAAGATTTTCTTAATGAGAAAAATCACATATTGAACATGTTCTCATTCAGAGTCACATGCTGCCATTGAAGACATTGAATGCTTAGCATGCTTTCCAGATAATGAGTCAGGCACTCGTTCGGTTTCTCAGTGTGGGTGTCTCTACATAGGTTGATTGTCTCCTCATTCAAAGCCTGTCCTTTGCTGCCTCTGAGTTTGCAGTTGTCTGGTGGCTCCTGCATCCTTGCGATTGTTACATAGACTTGCTGGGTGTTCTGAGATCTGAGACTCCTGTATGGAAATAAAAACCCCTATGTTTGGGCATTCTCATGAGCTAATGTTTGTACCAGCTGCAAACTATTCGTAGGATCGTGAATTAACATCCCTAGCAAATGCTTTTAGAAGTAGCTTGGCTCAGGTTAAGCACTGCCTCCTGAATTGAAGTGTACGACCTTGGGCAAGTTATGCAACTTCTCCAGGCCACAGTTTCCTCACTTGTAAAATGAGGGTAAAAGTGGTACCTACAACACTGAACTCCTCTGAAGATGAAAGGGTTAATTTTTCAAAATTCTTGGGACAGTGTTGGCACATAGTAAGTGCTGAACATAAATGGCATTCTGTTGAGTGACTGAAATGAAAACTGGAAACATGTTTCTCTTACTGAGTGATATGATCATCTTTTACACACTTAGCTTTCCGTGGGCCCATCGTACATACTCAATATGCATTGGTGTTACCAACATAACTGCTTGGAGGACCTGTAGAATACGCCAGTTTCAATGATCCATCATAGACTCATGGAATCAGGAACTCTGATTGTAAGAGCTGATAATCTATTTTCTTAAATGCTTTGTGTGATGTTGATGACTAGTGAAGTTTGGGAACATTTGGTGTAATATTCTTATACTTAAATATCTATGATATTGGAAGACTCATCGCCTCTTAAATGTTCCCATTCCACATTTATTGGATAGTGATACTGAGGTAAAACTCTTTTTCCTCAAGTTCTACTTCTACTTCTACTCCCTTGAGGCCACATGCAACATTTTAAATCTCCCTTCCATATGACGGCCCATCAGATATTTGTAGACAGCTGTCATGTCCCTCCTGAGCATTCTCTTCTTTCAGACAAAATAGAACATTGTCTCATGGCTCTTAAAAATTATGGAAGAATTGGCTCTTCTAATTTTATCTATAAGAAAGTTGAACTATAAGACTCTCCAGTTATCATTTGACATCTAAAAGATCAGAAAATGAGAGTGTTGAGACTCTGGGGTGCACAGGAGATGCCAAATGGGAGATGGTTGTGCATCTTCATTTGAGCAGAGGATGAAAATGCCTAAGATAGATGCTGGCTGCTGCATGTGTCTTCCCATGCAGACTCCTGCAAATTTCTTGAACACTTGATGTATTCAGAACATTAAAAAAAAATCTTGGCTTCAAATTTTAGCCAGGCTTGTCTAGGTGTTAGTTGTCTGGATGTATACCATGACTAAAAATTTACTGTGATTTGTTAATGTTTGGGCATCTACATGTGTTTAATATTTCAAAAAATATTTTTAAAAAATCAAGTCAAATTGCATGAATACTGCAACAAATTTTCTAGAGAGAATTCACTTGCCCAAGCATACATCTTCTATTCAGCCAATTCCTTCCTGACTTAATTTCTCACCTCTATCACTAATTCCATAACATATCTGGGTAGAGTTCCCATTACTTATACAAACTGTAGGTATCAGGCATGGTAATTTTGGAAAATAGAGAAACCATCAGTTGAGAAATTCTAAGCAAGGATTTGGAACATTAGATCTTTACTTCTACTCTGATACATTTATTTTTTCATAGACCATAATGAGGTAACTAAAACTGATGTTTATTTGTAAATTGCAAGCCTTAGGTTTGGAAGAACTAGAAATTACTATGACATGGCATACATATGTGCCATGGTATACATATGTGCCATTTTTGACTTGAGAAAAGGCTCAGATTTTTTATGACACCTCTAGAACATCAAAATATTTACCATATCATGATTCTACAAAAGATAATTTGATTCCTTGTTTTCAAGAAATGAAAGAAAATTGTAGAATTTCCTTAAGGTAAATGCACCATACCCAATGACAGATGATCACAAATATTAGATTTTTGTCAGCATTTAAGAAAGAATTATTCTAGAATCTCTGTCAGCACACAGAATACAGTCTGAGCTCTGGAGAGTGCTATTCCAAACTAGTCATTTCCAGGTTGATGGACTGAGGACTGAGGGTAAATGTCTTAGCCAAGGTCACACAGAGAGTTTGCATCATTATCCATGTCTTCAGACTTCACATAAGCCTTGTTGCATTTAAAGTAGTCCTTTCCTATCTGGATTTACCACCAGTTGCAAATTTGTGTTGGATACAGAATCAATTGTAGTAGCGCTATAGTCAGGCAAGCAGTTGTTCAGAGTGTCAGGACATGGGAAGAAGGCCAAGGAATGATGCAGTATTACACTAGCAAGTGATGTCATGGCATGATTTTCTAAGTGATTTACATAAATGCAAGTTCTCAAGAATCTCTAACACATGCCAGCCAGTGGGAATGCAGGTGTGGAGAACCAATGGCAAGCAGGGGAGAGGAGCATATAGGAAACCCAGACCTCCTTGCTTATGGTTGTGACAAGCTTCACCCCAGGAGCCTCAGAAAACTCCCTCCTGCCCCTCTACTCCAATGACTTCCCTCAAGCATATAGGCTCTAAGGAGCTTTGATTTTTCCCCCTTCATCTTCCTGTTTACTTCCAATGACATCCACACATTGCCTGAGAGCAACTCTTTGTATGGTGAAGACAAGTTTAATAGACATAGGCTATACAAGGGCTTTACATGCCAAAACTGATCTGCCCTCTTCATTATAATTTACGACAAATCCTCTGATTTTTATAATTCAAGTGACAAGCTATAATTCTTGATCAGATAATTCTGATCTTATGTAAATGTCACAGTAATATATTTGTTCAATTCTGGGATAATTTAGGAATAAAGACAGAAGGATACAAAACATCAAGATTTAATGTTTCAAAAATCCAAAATAGTGAAATATGTATCAATATGGAAGTTTTATTAAAATATTGTGGGGTAGTGGTGGGAGTTGACATATGTTACCCTGGTACTGGTTGGCAAAAGAAGTTCATGACAATATCTAGTTAGATCAAACTCCAAAGAAACTGATATGACTATTTGAGAAATAAGGAAATAGCTTAGAATGTGCCAGGTCAGGTCAGAGCCCCCTCCTCCCTCCTGCTGTTCTCCACTATCCCTCCCCCAACCACTGAAATGCCATTTAAACAGAGCTAAAGACCCCACCTCAAGCCAGATATCCAAGCAGTTCATAATACACCTAGGGATTTTGAATCTGAAGACTTTTCTCAACTGCAGAAGCCAACAAGAATGTCACCGAATTTCATCTCATGAAGCTTAATACCAAAAACAATCAACACGACTCAAACCCTTCATCCCACACAGCCCCAGTCTTTCTGGGAATAGAGGCTGGATATCTGCACATTCTCAGCAAGAATTTGAACTATTCCTCTTCTCCCATCACTGCCTCCATCTCCCAAAACCCCCAGCAGAATACCAGAAACTAGATTATTCAGAGCCATTGAGGAATTTGTAAATACCTTCTAGGCAGCAGGTCCTCCACAGCCCCGAATGGGTCATTACTTCTTCATTCTTCCTGCTGGTTTCATTATCACTTGTAGATTTAGTCCTGCACACACCTCTGGAATATAACCAGTAGTCCGTGCCCACTGCAATGGTCATTAAACTAAAAGCTGCGAAGGCTCCCACAGTGGTGATCAACATCTGGATACCTCTGTCACACATCCTCATAATTCTTCATGGTACTCTGGACGGCTGGGGGTTGAAGGGGAGACTCAGTGCCAGAGGGGAAAATCACTCTGCCGCTGGTTCACCTAGAGCAGGCTCTTCCAAAAATTCGTGTCTCCTTTTGTTGGTATCCACAGGGACTTTGGGGAAAGCTGGGATTTCCTGTCTGGAGCTCTCTCCAGTTCCCTGGGTCGCCTATGGCCCTCTGAAGCGTGCGGGCTCCAGGGGGTTGGTCCACATCACTGCTGCCTTCTGAGGGTCCCCGGGTTCCTTTCATTCCTCAGGAGCTTGGTAAGGACGAGGGTCCGTGCAGGGCATGGCTCCAGAGCCTGGGGCTGTCAGCTTGGTTTGAGATACGCCTGGCTCCTCACAGCCCCAGGAGACTCAAGGCAAAGACATCCAGAGAGGTCTGTGCGCGTGTGTGTGTGCGTGCGTGCGTGTATGTGAGAGCGCGTGTGCTGGGGGTGAGGGCGGATGGCAAAAAATAGCACTGCTGGGAGGCGAGTCGCTGAGAAGAGTGCTCACTGCTTCCCCAGCCTCCCAGGAAAGCTCTCCGCCTGCTCCTGACACCCCCGCTCAAACTGGAGAAAAGACTGTCCCGGGGCGGGGGGCCGAGCGCCTTCCTCAGAGGGCAGAGGTCCGTGGTGCTGAACGGACAGCTCCCTGCCTGTTGCCCGGCCTCCGTGGTGCTGAACGGACAGCTCCCCGCCTGTTGCCCCTGCTACAGTGGTGCTAAAGGGACAGCTCCCTTCTGCGGCTGCACCCCAGCCTTGGGAGCGCCGGGGCTAGAGACCCGGGGTCCTGCAAGGGTCCGTCTTTCCTGCACCCTTTGTTCGCCTCTTCCGAGGCCAGCCGGCTGGCTTGGCTCTGCCTAGTCAAGCCCACGCTCCGCGCAAAGTTTCGTGAGCCCAGAACAGTCAGCGCCCCGGCGGCTGGGCGCTGCAGCACCACCTTGTCCCTCCGCCCCAGGAAGGGTTAAGGAAAGGGGAAGGGGAAGGAAGCCCGCAGCGCGCTCTGGCGCTCGCTCAGCGCCCACCCAAGGCAGCCTTCTCCAATCAAACCCCCTCAACCCTCCCAGGAGCCAGACAAGTTTGCTGTTTGCTGCGGGCGCCGCTGGAGCCCGTGGAGAGACGGAAGACCCTGAAGACCGATTCTTCTTAAAGGGGCCGGCGGCTCAGGGCGACGGTTCCGCGGCTCACTTGGGCGAGCAGAAAGTGTTGCCACAGGCACATCTGTGCATAGTCTGCCTCAATTTGGTTCCCCAGAAAACAAACCAATATGTCTACCCTGCTTTCTCTGGAGCTCTGTTTTACACCGGAGACAACGTGCTCGGATCAGATCCGGAACTGTTCATATTCATATGATCATGTATTTTTAAAAGACAGAAGGAGCTAAATGTATTTAGACTCTCTTGGACCCATATCAGAGACTTTGGGTAAAGGGTTTTAAGATTTTGATCTCTGACTGCATCTCATATATTTTAACACCTCTATCTTTGAGGGTGTGATGCATTCAAGGTGGGAGAGGCACTGAAAATGTCAGAATCTTTCCAAAGGTCCTTAGGATGTTCATATGCGTGTCTGAGTCTGACCACAAAGCTGGTCAACTACCATTGCACACCTGAAAGCTCTCTCCCTTAGAGTTAGGCAGTATTGCAAAGTTTCGGCATTTAACCAGTTTTTATTACTATGGATGCTAGCACATACAGGAGCACACTGAATTGACTAAGGACAGTCCACAGAATCGCCCTTTTTATTGCTTTTTTTTTTTCTTTTGGCATAACATGACTGATATTCAGAGGTCAAGAGTTTGGAATTGAGATTTCTTAGGTTGCTTCCGCAGTCTCTGAGATGTGTCCACAAACCATCATGTTTGAATTCTATTTAACTAGACAAAAATATAATGGAGGTAATTGTAGACACACATCCTCCCTTGGTGCTATCTCTGGCTATCCGAGAGCTTCTTTCCAGATGACTGAGTAGGAACAATGTGTTGAAGAGCTCTCAAGTGCAGCTCACACAGCCTTACTTTTATTTTGGTGTTAGAGTTATTTGAAGTCTTGGTTCTTGGTGTACATGTATAGGTTTGACTATATAGTTACAGTGTGACTGTGTTTGAACATTTACCTGTGTTTCACTCTACATAAGAATTCTGAATGCCTGTGAATTTGTTGTGGATGTAAAGCAGGTATATGTATTGTGGGCCATGTGAACTTGTTTATAATAAATATACAACTATGTGCATGTGTGGGTGTTCATGCCTGTGTGTAAATATAGCGTAGGCTTGAATACATAGGTGAGTACATTTATGTGCATTTAGTTACACGTGCATCTGGCATGGTTTTCTCTGAAGATTTTTCTGTAACTGAAATGAAGCACATAAATTAGTCAGACCTCAGAAAAATGTCAGGAGGTGGTGGAGAAAAGTATATAAGGTATCCCACAAGTCACTAAGTATTTTTTTTCTAAAAAGAAAATTTTTTTAAAGATTTATTTACTTGAGAGTCAGAGTTACACAGAGAGAGAAGGAGAGGCAGAGAGAGAGAGAGAGAGAGAGAGAGGTCTTCCATCTGCTGGTTCACTTCTCAATTGGCCAAAATGTCTGGAACTGCGCCAATCCAAAGCCAGGAACCAGGAGCTTCTTCCAGGTCTCCCACATGAGTGCAGGTGCCCAAGGACTTGGGCCATCTTCTAGTGCTTTCCCAGGCCATAGCAGAGAGCTGGATCAGAAGTGAGCAGCTGGGTCTTGAACTGGCACCCATATGCGATGCCAATGCTGCAGGCGGTGGCTTAACCTCTATGCCACAGCACCGGCCCCTAAAAAGAAAATTTGCTTCTCAATGAAGTTATTGGTTATTTTTGTTTCAAGGAAAAAGCCATGTGCAACATGGAAGTAAGGTTGGTCTTGCCTGGGAGGAGTTACCGAAATACTGACATTTCCTTCCCCACTCTCTGACACATAATAAGATGAACTAATTGACAATGGTGAAAACAGCCATTCCAGGATCTGTTTGATTCTTCTCTTCATCCAATAGGAGCAAAAAAAAAATCTTCTCAAAGGAGGGCCATGTTGATGGAAGGCCGATGGGCTCGGGCCTTAGGGAGAGTGTGTTCCAATCATCCATTCACTAGACTCACAGTCAATCAGGAGCAGCTCCACCTCCACTCCCTCAGCTCTATAACATAAACCCAGACCTGCAGGGTGAGGTGCCCAGGAAGTGCAGCCGACAGAATTAAGTCTCTAGGTATGATTGTGAGGATGGCAGTAGGGAGCTCAGGTAGATGAAGGTAAATAATGTTTCTGAAGAAGATAAAGGGGCACGAGTTACAGGAATGGAGTTTACACTGAGGTTTTTGCTTGATAAGGCAAGATCATCTTTTGTAATTCCTGTCCAGAGTGAGGTTGTCACAGAGTGTGGGAAGTCTGGAACCTGCATGTGGAACAAGCCCGAACACCTGATGAGAGTGGGAGTGCAGAGGCAGGGAGGCCGTCAGTTAATTCCCGGTAATGCCTCCTCACTTACTAGGGGGTGACCTCATCCTTTCATTCAATTGGTTGTGTAGGTGTGTACATCAGTGTTTAGAATGTTTTCAAGCTGAGAGAGAATTGCTAGTTTTCACCACTAGAGGGCTCTTTCACCAGATCAATGAGAGACCCAAGAGATTCAAAGCACATCTCCTTACAGGGATGGACCCCGACCCTTCCTCTAAGTCTGCAGACGACTCTCTCTGATTTACACTGGCAGGAGGTCAGGAGGCATTCAGAGAGCTTACAATAGATTCTCTTATTAAGACCTGTTGTCTTCCACAGGCGGCGGAGTAACTGGTTGTGATATGTATTTGTGCTTTTTTACCTTTCATCCTCTCATACATCAGTGTTACTCTCACCCTTGGAGGGGGCCCATGACCACTGAAAGTGTTTATGTCCCTTAGGAAGAAAGAATGTCAGCTGGTTCAATTCAATAAATGCTTCTTGATAGTCTACCATGTACAGCTCGCATTTTGGAGAATGCAAAGATAGAGCTCCCAAGGTATATTATTATATTAGTGAGTAAATTTTGACTGTAAACCACAGAAACTCACTGGAGCTTGTGTAAGAAAACTGGAGATTTGCTCCAAGGATTCAGTATTGTTTTAAGGAGCCATAGGGTGGAGATACAAATAGGTCTCAGCAAAGAGCTAGAACCAGGAACTGAAAGCCATCAGGAGCCTTGGTTATTACTCTATTTTTCAGCCCTGCCTCATTTCATAATTTTAGTCAAAGAATTTTTGCTATGTCTTCTGTTTGAGCTTTAAGATGGGAGATAGATTTTGAATTTCTATGTCATCTCTATTCAAGAAACCCACCCAGATGAAAGTGGGAAGCCTTAGCTCCAATTCAAAATTTCCAGAAGAGACAACCTGATGTCATATGTACTATCCAGCCCAGTCAGCTGTGGTCAAGGAAACAGGGTCATGTAGTAGCCTCCCATATCCTGCCATCTGAACTAGACCTTGTGAGTTAGAGAAGAAAGAAGGGGCATTTCTTGCAGAAGGCTCACTCTGGAAAGTCCTCATGATCCATTTTTGGAACTACTTTGGTGATGCTTACTGGCTCAGCAGTAAAACATGATAATTGATGAGAATAAACCATGGCAGGGTATGGGAGGCTCAGAAGATGACGGAGCTCTCAATAGAAGGGTATTGGTGGCACCAAGACCAGCCGCGTATTCTGTCCATATGCTTCTTCCCATGGAAGAGAAAGATTGTGGGCTAAAGGAGCAAAATGCTACCGAGGTAAAGGCATGACTGTGGCTGCAGGCTAAGGAGAGGATAAAAAACCAGATGTACCTGGACTGAATAGTCTAGTCCCTATAATCTTGAAATTCTCCATGATGTTTCCACACAGTCTAGTTTATCAGTTTCTGCTTTAGATTCATCCTATAGAAAAGCATTGATAACTAAACACTGTGCTTATAAAACACATCTTCATTAACCTTCTTTCAGTAACTGAAACCCCTGTGCTCTCTCTTGTACCAAAGTACTGTGCTTACAAACAGTGTCGAGCAGAGTGATGAAGTTGGATGATGGAAGGAAAGGAAGAAGAGTAGGTTGCGTTGCAAAGCAAGCAGTTACTTCAAATGTGAGGGTATGAGGGTACTCCAAAAACCTCATGGGACATGAGATTAAAGGATCAGTTTATTTTAGTGCCCCCAATCTTGAAATGCATGATCTGAGGGCTTTCAGAAAGTTCATGAAAAGATGTATTATGAAAAAACTACGCATGGATTTCAAAGGTTATTGCACCAAAGTGACCTTTGAATTCAATTCCCACAAACTTTCTGAAGCACCCTCGAATGTCTGGGGTTGATGAAGAGAGATCTAGAACTTGAGTATGTTCTTAGAAATTATTAAGATAAGCAAGCCGGAGCCGTGGCTCACTAGGCTAATCCTCCGCCTTGCGGCGCCGGCACACCGGGTTCTAGTCCCGGTCGGGGCGCCGGATTCTGTCCCGGTTGCCCCTCTTCCAGGCCAGCTCTCTGCTGTGGCCAGGGAGTGCAGTGGAGGATGGCCCAAGTGCTTGGGCCCTGCACCCATGGGAGACCAGGAAAAGCACCTGGCTCCTGGCTCCTGCCATCAGATCAGCGCGGTGCGCCGGCTGTGGCGGCCATTGGAGGGTGAACCAACGGCTAAGGAAGACCTTTCTCTCTGTCTCTCTCTCTCTCACTGTCCACTCTGCCTGTCAAAAAAAAAAAAAAGATAAGCAAGAGAGGAGCCAAAAAAAATCTACAACTGTACCTGGAAGAGAGAAGAGGGGAGGTTGGGGTGAGGTGAGCTACACGGAGATGGGTGACGGTGATTATTACCCTGGGGAAGAAGGGCCAGGGTGGGACCAGGACAGCTGCTTTTCATAGAAGCCTTCTCTATCCTACTTGCTTTTCTTCTTTTTTGACAGGCAGAGTGGACAGTGAGAGAGAGAG